ACGCGTCCATGTTTGTGGGCGGCGTGTGAATCAGGTGAGGAAGTCTAAACAATGGCGAAATGTATATACGCCGCCTGTTGTGTCTTCCGCCGGGATGTGAACAACAACTGACAATATTTACACCACAGTCTCCCCTCGACCTTGTTTTATTGACGCTTATGGATTAAATCACTCCGGTATAAAAAAACCCAAATAGTATCCTAACTGATGCAGATAATTAAGTCTGTGTGAATAATTACGTTGATTCAGTGTTGGGGCTCCCTTGACGACCTTCTCTCACGGACCAGCTGATATTAATGTTTTCGTCAAGGTCTCTAGGTTGATATTGTGAGAGAGAGAGAGACAGAGAGAGAGAGAGAGAGAGGTCGCGGCGGGGGGAGGGAGGGGAGGGAACACTTAACCCACCCACACAACAATGTCACCTCTTGTGGTCACTCAAGGTGGGATGCTGCACTTGTGTGAGGAGAAAATACCATAAAAATCTGCTGTTAATTCTAGTGAAGTGTTAGTCAAGGTTTGTGTGGTGACGGAAGAAACTAGGAGAAACTTTTAGCTGTAATTATTGTCCATTATTATCAGGTTTATGTTTACTTACCAGCTGTTCCGAGAAAGCAGGAGGGTAGAGAGAGAGAGAGAGAGAGAGAGAGGATGATCGTGGGGTTGGGTGAATACTTTCTGGAACTTTCTCACATTACTATGATGATGAAAGTAATAATACTGTAGTTAAACTTTGATATATAAATTTAAGTGTAAGAAAATAATAATTAAATAATAAGAATAATAATACTTATCCTAACTCAGAGGAAAATCAAGTCGATGTGGTGTTCAATGTTGTTATCAGTGATGGTCGGGGTGTACAGGTGTTGGTGGTCGGGGTGTACAGGTATTGGTGGTCGGGGTGTACAGGTGTTGGTGGTCGGGGTGTACAGGTGTTGGTGGTCGGGGTGTACAGGTGTTGGTGCTAGCAGGAAAGACAGGTGTTGGTGGTCGAGTTGTGCAGGTGGGTGCTAGCAGAAGAGACAGGTGTTGGTGGTCGGGGTGTACAGGTGTTGGTGGTCAGGGGTGTACAGGTGTGGGTGGTTGGGGTGTACAGGTGTTGGTGGTCAGGGTGTACAGGTGTGGGTGCTAGCAGGAAAGACAGGTGTTGGTGGTGGTCGGGGTGTACAGGCGTTGGTGGTCGGGGTGTACAGGTGTTGGTGGTCGGGGTGTACAGGTGTTGGTGGTCGGGGTGTACAGGTGTTGGTGCTAGCAGGAAAGACAGGTGTTGGTGGTCGAGTTGTGCAGGTGTGGGTGCTAGCAAGTTAGACAGGTGTTACAGGTGTCGTGGCCATGTCCAACTAATCATAAAACATCCTCTGATCAGTACAGACTATGTTAATGTTTAAAAAAAAATATTGTAAAACTAACCACAGTCCGCAGATGAACAGATGCACATAGACAGACAGACAGACAGACAGACAGACAGACAGACAGACAGACAGACAGACAGACAGACAGACAGACATACAAACTACCAGCCATAAACATTAAAAACTAAAATACAAACCCGAGTCATTGGAAAATACACCTTCTGCTCTCCTTAAAAAAATAATAAAAAATAAATAAAAAAAGCCGTAACTCAGGAAAACAAATTCGGATGTCAACAAACTCGACAGGGCAAAAAAAAAATCACTTTCAATTTAGTGTTCAAGTCATTCTATTTAATCTATGGAAAGTTAAAGACCAGAAATCAGTATGGGGAGACAGACAGACAAACTTACTATATCCCCTTTAAAAAAGTCTTACTCGAGGAATGAAAAGAAGGAAGAGAAAATAGATTGAAATAACTGAAGGAAAAATACTTGTAGTTATTTGTTAAAGTTGTGGTGTTATGGAGAAAGAGAGAGAGAGAGAGAGAGAGAGAGAGAGAGAGAGAGAGAGAGAGAGAGAGAGAGAGAGAGTATAACAGTCAGTAATACTACACACACACACACACACACACACACACACACACACTATTTATTCACCGTGTGAACGACCTGCTGGGATGGGTAGAGGAAGCTGAGTGACAGACCACAAATGACCTCTTGTATAACTGTCACATCAGGATGCTTGTGGGTCTGAGTGTGGTGAACTTGTTTACATTCACGATCTGATGGGCCCAAGTGTTGATGTGGGCGGCTGTGTCCTCATCACCACAGTGGATTATGTTTATTCACTTCACCTGCCTGGTTTCATTCATAGTCATTCATGGTTCAGTTATTCAAAGGTTCTTTAGGTCAATACTCCTGGTAAATTTTGGTGTAAGAATGTACTGTGCGTAATTGGTTAAAATACAAAAATGACGTCCAGTTATATGTTGTAGCTGCCTCTCTGCTCCGGGAAGAATTATTTTGGTAAAGGTGTGTGTGGTAGATTTGTATAGTAATGGGAAAGTGTACGGTAGGGTGTGTTTTAAGTGTGGGTGTAGATAGTGAAGGGTCAGTTACACACACACACACAGTCATACTTGTGGAAACTGTACATGGTGGTAGGTGTTTCAGCCTCATTGCTGCCGTAGTGGAAGCGACGCCTCTCTCCGCCAAGTCTTGGTGTTTGTGTGGGAGGCAGAAGGTGGAGCAAACACCGTGGGTTAGTGTTGTCACGGTCAGGGGAAACACCAGCAGGAGGGTAAGAGAAGGTCTAGGGGGGAGGGGGGGGACTGGCTTTAGAAAGTTGATTGTTTTGGTTGTTGGGGATGAAACAATTATTATCGTTATTTCTTTTTTATTTGCGGTTTAGACTTCGAAGACAAGGCTACAGTCCGTGTGCCTTTCTCTCAATTTCTTGTTCTCTCTCGCTCTTTTAAATAATCAACTGGATGTTTCAGACAAAGATTACTTATCACTTTTCTTCAAATGAGGACAGATAACAGCATAAAGTAATGATCATATCAAGAGATAAGCGTCACGTGCAGTTTGTGAGGCTCCTGGCAGTGACGAGCAGGCCGGGTGATGTGGGGGTGTCGAACAGGTTTACTGGCGTGGGTGGGGTAGGAGTCGAACCTGTGGGCACGTTAAGGGTTCCTGCCACAGACAGAATGTGCATTAAGGAACACAACACGACTTTTCTCATTCATTCAAGTAACACACAATTAATTTCTTCCTATATGACACTGAAGAGTCAAATTCCTATAGCTAACACGAGTGCCACCTCAGTTAGACAGTAGGTGAACTTTCGTCTGGCTTAACTTCCATATTCGTGTCACTGTGGGGTGGAAGGGAACATAAGGTGTTGCTCATCGCTCGAATTGGTTAAGACTAATTGGTAATGCCCAAACAGTATGCTCATAAACAAACAAGGCAGAGGAGGACCGTATCCCGAGCTGACGCGTATTTTTGTCCATTGATTATTACCAAGGAGCGTGTAGTTGTGTGAACCTGGATGAGTTACTGGTTCTTAACATCTGTAGAGTTTTGTCCACGTGTCTGGCTGTTCGTCGTTGAGGAATATTCTCCGGAGAAGTTTAATCTGTAGGAGTAAGATATTTTAGTACTAGTGCCCATGTATGTAAAATTTTTGCTCATGGACTTATTGCAAACAAAATGTATTAACAAATTGTACCCATATTAAGTCTTACAATGGAAACATGTGCAGTACCCTAACGTGCACACACACACACACACACACACACACACACACACACACCTAGCCCCGCCCCCTCATGCACCATAACATAAGAGAAAACTCTACTGAAGGTTATCACGGGGACAACCACTCTTACAATTGTTATATATATTGTGTGTGTTTATGTTTTACTGATGGCGTTGTGTATAAATACTACTAATTAAATCAGAACTAATATTTACGATTTTTTTTTAGTAATTTTAACTTTATTTATGATGACATTATTTATCATTCAGGTTAATGAACAGAATAGTATCGTATTTCATAATCCACACGTGTTGATGTGTAACTGTGGTAGAGTGTGGATGGAGTGTGGTGGTGGTGGGTGTAACTGTGGTAGAGTGGTGGTGGGTGTAATACTTTAGCCACAGTGTTGTGAGGGACTAGTGTTGCAACCGCCACATCTAAATGATCAAAGGAAATGTTGGTGGGTGCAGCTCCTCTGACCAGTTGGCACTGTCACGTGTTGTTGAGGGGCAGACCTGAGTGTCTCCTTTACTTTAATGCTTTATATTCTTATATACACATCTACATATATGTATAATATACATAATGCCATATATACGCACTAAGTCTCTTTTGTTACTACGAATTTTTAAAAGGTTGTAATATATGGTAAATAAATAGTGTCCGGGAGTTTGCGAAGTAGTAGTTTGGCGCCAACACCTGCGTGATATGAGATCAGGTGTTCCCTTCTTGTAGTGTAGACTCAGACTCAGTAGACTTTAGAGTTGAAACGGAAATATGACAGTCAGATAGGACCTGTGTTGCTGACGACCTCAGTGTGAAGAGACTAAGGTACAGGGAGGTTGGTGAGGCTATGCACATGATCACAAGGGGAATTAATCACTTGTTTCAGGCCAGTCCGGTAGCTGTACCTCTGTGTGAGTTGGTGGGCAGCTGGTAGCTAAGTCTGGAAGACCGAGTATTATACAAGGAGATTATTTTATGGTCCGTTGACCATGAGAGAATTTTGTGTAAACGAATTAATATATCGGTCTGCGGTGTTGATGAAGGTGGAGGTGAGATGTACCCGAGGTAAATACAATAACTATGAACACAATGTTGGCTGCCGGTGCTGAGACTTGCTGCAACACGCAGAGATATTTTCACCGTTGATGTCACCTTGATAGTGGTCACCCCGTGGCAACACTTACTTCTCTCGGTGTGACCTTCTGATGTGGTTACCCGCGCGTGGGTGGTGGTGACCTGCGGCGGGAGTTCTGGGAAGGAGTAAGCGTGGGCAGGTGTGGGGGAGCGTGGCGGGGGCGGGGCCTGGGCAGTGTGGTGCCCAGGTCCTGGTGGCCGCCGCACCCGCAAGCCGCCGAGCTGTAGCGTGCCCGCGCCAGTCTCAGTAGCACCCGCGCCGCCGTCGCACCACCAGTGCCGTCTCGTGTCGCTCGCCCGCCCTCACACCCACCCACCTGAGAGCCTCCTCTAACGCCACGCCCAGGCTGAGCTGCACAGCCTTTGGCACTTGTTTGGGTCGCAGCCCCCTGTTGACGGAAGTGTCAAGACCCGTGCCATCCCTGCCAAAAGTTTGACAAGTGCTTTCTAGTAACAGTTTTTAACGTGGATTACTACACCCATTCATGTAAAGATGCAGGACGTGCAAGGGGAGCAGTTAGTTCCCTCGTGCAAGTAAGGGCGAGGAGTGCAGTGTCTTCATGTTCCAGAGTGCTGGAATATAATTTCAAAGTTAAAGTTGGTGGGATAGTTACAAAATATTAATATTATAAGTGTGGTTGTGTAGAAAATAAGAGCCTTTGCTAACAGTTTCTATAAGTTATACATGAAGTGAAATGCTGGTGTATTTTGGCATCAAGTGTAACTCAGTGCAGTATGGGTAATAGTGAAGGAAAGTTAACAACAGGAAGGAGGCATGTAGATCTACCGTACGATACTGCGCGGCCCTTGCCACCATTACCCAGCGACGAAGAGGAGGAGGCAGATGATCTAGACCTTGACTCGCCGCCCCCATACCCGCCTCCACCGCCACCAGGGGAGGAACATAAGCGGTACTCTTGGCGCTTCAGGGACTCCGCCGTCTTTGGCCAGAGTGAAAACAAAAGGCGCTCGTGGCTACTCAACTTCACCAACGGAGGCGACAGTAAGGCAAAAAGTAAACTGGTGAAAGACGGTAAGGATGTCAATGATGTTCACATAAACACAGGTACAGGTAGCAGGGAATTTTCGAGTGTCCCCGGTGTGAGAGGGTCGAGTCAGGAGACCCAACTAGACAATCAAAGTGGGGAGTCGTGGAAAGTTGAGAGCAAAGTTGAAGGAGATACGGACGTAAGTGGTGAGACACAGTTGTTCACATACCAAATTATGAATAAGGATTCCACTATGGATTCACAGGGAGACTTCGGTCACCCAACCTGGCAGATACGAGACGGCAAGCTCATCAGTGTGACCAAGGACATTGTCAAAGGAGAAGACAACGACGCCCCTGGATACAGTCTTCTCCACGAATGCGTCAGACACGACCAGCGGACCGGCCTGCCGTCCCTGGATATAAGTACTAATGCGAATATGAACGAAGACTTGAAAAATGTCATAGACGAACTACGTGGAAAACCCCACCACGTAGAAGGAAAGACTTCTGTCAAGACTGTCTCAGATGGCAAAGGAGGTTATGTTAAAGTCACAACTACTGAGAGGACTGTTGCCTCCCAAGTCAGTATTAATGGGAGGGATATAAAATCAACTCCAACTGATTCGTTGAGTAAACTTGAAGCAGAGCTGACTGCCCTGCTCTCTCCCGAGCTAGACATGCGTGGTGAGGTAGGTGTGCCCAGAATAAATGGAACAAACCTGGATGCTCAAAGTTCTCTGTCCACAGAAAACAGGATGATATCAGGAGTACATAGTAATGGCGACATGGGGGGTAGTAGTCAGACATACAGTTCACGTACACGGCAAACATACAACATATCAGTTACACCAAATCTTCCTCTACCCGATATACAGGAATTCTCTGGCAAAGGTGTTCCATTACTGCCAGACCTTGTGAAAGGTAATCGTGGGTCAGCGTTGGAATACAAGAGTTCAGTGGGGAGCCCTGATAAGTCATTTGATAGTGGGGTAAACGTAGACACATCGGGTTACGGGGCTGATGGGCGGGGTCCTGATCTGTCTTTTGGGTTTGACGGTACAGCGCCACACAAGACATTAGCAAGTCGTGAGCCTCATTCCTCGAAACTGGAAGGTAATTTAGATTTCAGAGCTGATGTGCCACATATCCAAGGAGATGTGAAAGGGAATGCTCCAAGTTCCAGTTTCCGAATCGGTGCCCCGGGAGTTGATGCAAGTGTACCAGTTGGTGGAAGTCAACCAAACTGGGATATTCATGCAACAGGAAAAGTGCCTTCTGCAGCAGTTTCTCTGTCACCCTTTGAAGGCGATAATTCTGCTGATCCAAGTATTAATATTTCAGTTCCCAAAGGCAAAGCCAAAATAGATGTTGACTCTCCTAAAGTCAAAGGAGAAAAGCCCAAAACAAAACTAGGTTCTTGTTTTGGCAAGCCTAAGAGTCCTAAAATTGACAATGAACATGAACAAGGTCAAATAGACGTTGAAGGTCCCGAGGTGAGTGTGAGTGCTTGTGCCAGACCTCCCTCAGCTAACACTGATGTTGATTCACCCAATGTTAAAGTAAAAGGCGGTAAACCAAAGGGCAAACTCGGATCGTGCTTTGGCAAACCTGAGGGTCCGAAAGTTGAAGGTGAATATAAACCAAGCAAGGTAGATCTTGAGAGTCCAAAGGCCAGTATTAGTGTTGATGCTGGACCTCATGAAGCCCACGCTGATATTGACATTGATGCACCCGAAGTAAGTATGAAAGTTGGCACACCAGACGCTGACATAGACGTCGAGTCACCAAAAGTAAAAGTCAAAGCTGATAAACCAAAGGCCAAATTGGGATCCTGCTTCGGTAAACCCAAAACACCTGATGTTGAAGGTGAAAGTAAACGAGGTAAAGTAGATTTAGAAGATCCAGAAGTCAGTATTAAACCTCCTAAGCTCAAAGCAGACATTGACATTGACTCTTCAGAAGTGAGGGTGAAAGCTGGAAAACCAGAGGTTGATTTGGACGTGGAGTCGCCAAAAGTAAAAGTCAAAGCTGATAAACCAAAGGCTAAATTGGGATCCTGCTTCGGTAAACCAAGTAGTCCTAAGGTACAGGGAGAATATACACCAGGTAAAATTGAACTTGAGGGATCTGAAATCAGTGCTGGAACAAGTATCAAAGGTCCAGAAGCAGAAGCCAACGTTGATATTGAATCACCAGATGTAAAAATAAAAGGCGGAAAAGGAATTAAAAAACCCAAAGCGAAAGTTGGATCATGCTTTGGCAAACCCAAAGGATCTCAACTTGAAGCTGCTTACCAACCTGGAGAGATAAAGGTTGAGGGACCTGAAGTACCGAAAGTACGAGCTGAAGTTCCTTCAATAGAAGGCAAATTGGATGTAAAACCACCAAGTGCTGACATCAGTCCCTCACTTGAAGTAGAAATTCCTCAAGTTCCTGAAGTGAAAAGAGGAGTTGGAATTGTTGTTGACGCACCCAAAATTGAGCCAAAATTGAAAATAAAAGGTGATATTCCAGATTTACCTAAAGTTGAGGCCAACTTAGGAGGTAGAGCTGATGTTCCCACAATACCCGCAATGGAAGGGGGAGTTGCCGTTAATGTTAACATACCAAAAAGTGAACCAAGACTAAGAATTAATGCTGATATTCCAGATATTCCCAAAGTTGAGTCCAAGTTGGGAGCAAAGGCTGATGTTCCAGGCATGGATATAAAGTATGACAGTCCTGCAGCTCCTGGGATTAAAGGAAATGTCGATCTCAATGTCACATCACCTGAATTTAAACCTGATGTTAAACTAGAGGGTGAAATTCCAGGATTACCAAAGGGCGAGGCAGGTTTTGACTTTGGAGGAACCATCCCAAGCTTTTCAGACAAAAAGGGATTAGATATTTCAGTGCCAGATATCCCAAGTCCAAAGATTGAAGCAGGAATCGAAGCTGATTTACCATCTGTTGATCTTCCTCAAGCTAACATTTCATTACCATCAGTCCCCGCTGTCCCAGCGGCTGAGATTAAGGGAGAAGTAAAGACTCCAGAATTATCTGGGTCAGTGAAGATGCCACAACCTGAAGTGAAGGCCAAGAAAGCCAAACTAGGTCCATGTGCTTGTCTAGGTAAACCAGGAAAAATTAAAAAGGAAGAGCCATACATGTCTGCTAAACTTGAAGGAAAAGCTCCAGGAGAGATAAAAGATGTAGATGTGGGACTGGAGGTAGAAGGACCAGAAGCACAAGCATCCATCGGTGTGGAAGCCCCCGAGATCAAGAGTAAGAAGGTAAAAGTATCAGGAAAGCCTAAATCATCTTTAGGATCTTGTTTCGGTAAACCTAAGACTCCTTCAGTAAGTGGAGAATATGCAGCTGATGCTGATGTGGGAGCATCAGTGTCTGTAGATCCTCATATTAAGGTAGAGGGCGAAGGTCTTGCTGGTCCCAGTGTTAGTGTTGATGCTCCCGAGGGCAAGGCTAAGATGGATGTTGGATCTCCGGAAGTGAAAGTAAAAGGAGGAAAACCCAAAGCTAAATTGGGATCATGTTTCGGTAAGCCTAAGAGTCCAGAAATTGAAGGTGAATATAAGCCAGGTCAAATTGAAGGCCCAGAGGCAAGTGTTGGGGCCAGTGTTAAATCCCCAGAAGCCAAGGGTGACATTAGTATTGAGTCTCCAGACGCTAAAGTAAAGACAGGAAAGCCCAAGGCTAATTTAGGTTCATGTTTCGGCAAACCCAAGAGTCCTAAAGTGGAAGGTGAATATAAGCCAGGTAAAGTCGACATTGAAGGACCACACTTAGAAGGGAGTGCCAGTATTGAACCTCTTGAAGCCAGAGCGGATATTGACATAGATGCACCGGATGTAAAGGTAAAGGGAAGTAGACCAAAGGCTGATATAGACATAGATTCCCCAGAGGTGAAGGTGAAAGCCCAAAAGCCAAAGTCTAAGTTGGGATCTTGTTTTGGTAAACCAAAGAGCCCCCAAATTGAAGGTGAATATAAGCCAGGCAGAGGAGACCTGGAAGGTCCAGAAGTCATTGTTGCTTCTCCTGAGGCTAAGGCAGATGTCAACATTGAAAGTCCAGATGTAAAAGTGAAAGGAGGTAAACCAAAAGCTAAGTTTGGGTCTTGTTTCGGCAAGCCAAAGACTCCAAAGGTTGAAGGAGAATATAAAGCAGGTGAAGTTGAACTTGAGGGCCCCGAGGTCGGTACCGGAGCAGGCTTGAAAACACCCGAAGTTAAAGCAGACATTGATATTGAATCACCAGATGTGAAAGTGAAAGGTGGGAAGGGAAGTGGGAAGCCTAAAATGAAGGTTGGATCATGCTTTGGCAAACCCAAAGGACCTAAACTTGAAGCTGCTTACCAACCTGGAGAGATAAAGGTTGAGGGACCTGAAGTACCAAAAATACGAGCTGCAGTTCCTTCAGTAGAAGGCAAATTGGATGTAAGATCACCAAGTGCTGACATCAGTCCCTCACTTGAAGTAGACATTCCTGAAGTAAAAGGAGGGGTTGGATTTGATGTTGATGTACCCAAAATAGAGCCCAAATTGAAAATAGAAGGAGATATTCCAGATTTACCAAAAGTAGAAGCCAAGCTGGGAGGCAAAGCAAATGTTCCTGATTTAGAAGTTGAAGGTAACATACCCAATCTTCCCGAAATAAAGGCAGATGTTGATATCAATGCCGCCATACCTGATCTTAAACCTAAGATAAAACTGGAAGGAAATATTCCAGACCTTCCAGAGGCAGATGCTAGCTGGGATATTGGTGCAAACATCCCTGGTATTTCAGGGGATGTAAAAGAACTGGATATATCATTGCCTGACATACCAAGTCCAAAGATTGATGTAGAAATGAAAGGTGATTTACCAACTGTTGATCTTCCTGAAGCTAAGATTTCACTTCCATCAGTCCCCGCTGTCCCAGCGGCTGAGATTAAGGGAGAAGTAAAGACTCCAGAATTATCTGGGTCAGTGAAGATGCCACAACCTGAAGTGAAGGCCAAGAAAGCCAAACTAGGTCCATGTGCTTGTCTAGGTAAACCAGGAAAAATTAAAAAGGAAGAACCATACATGTCTGCTAAACTTGAAGGAAAAGCTCCAGGAGAGATAAAAGATGTAGATGTGGGACTGGAGGTAGAAGGACCAGAAGCACAAGCATCCATCGGTGTGGAAGCCCCCGAGATCAAGAGTAAGAAGGTAAAAGTATCAGGAAAGCCTAAATCATCTTTAGGTTCTTGTTTCGGTAAACCTAAGACTCCTTCAGTAAATGCAGAATACGAAGCAGATGCTGGTGTGGAAGCATCAGTGTCTGTAGATCCTCATATAAAGGTAGAGGGCGAAGGAGTTACTGGTCCCAGTGTTAGTGTTCCCGAGGGCAAGGCTAATATTGATATTGAATCTCCAGAAGTCAAAGTAAAAGGAGGAAAACCCAAAGCTAAATTGGGATCATGTTTCGGGAAACCGAAGGCTCCGGAAATTGAAGGTGAATATAAGCCAGGTAAAATTGAAGGCCCAGAGGCAAGTGTCGGAGCTAGTATTAAATCCCCAGAAGCCAAGGGTGACATTTCAGTTGAGTCTCCAGATGCTAAAATCAAAACAGGAAAGCCCAAAGCTAAATTGGGTTCATGTTTCGGCAAACCCAAGAGTCCTAAAGTGGAAGGAGAATATAAACCAGCTAAAGTTGACATTGAAGGACCAAGCATTGAAGGGAGTGCCAGTGTTGAACCTCTTCAAGCCAGAGCGGATATTGACATAGATACTCCTGATGTAAAGGTAAAGGGAAGTAGACCCGAGGCTAATATAGACATAGATTCCCCAGAGGTGAAGGTGAAAGCCCAAAAGCCAAAGTCTAAGTTGGGATCTTGTTTTGGTAAACCAAAGAGCCCCCAAATTGAAGGAGAATATAAGCCAGGTAAAGCAGAACTGGAAGGTCCAGAAGTGGTTGTTGCTTCTCCTGAGGTTAAGGCAGATGTCGGCATTGAAGGTCCAGATGTGAAAGTGAAAGGTGGTAAACCAAAAGCTAAGTTAGGGTCTTGTTTCGGCAAGCCAAAGACTCCAAAGGTTGAAGGAGAATATAACGCAGGTGAAGTTGAACTTGAGGGTCCCGAGGTCAGTGCTAAAGCAAGTTTGAAAACACCCGAAGCTAAAGCAGATATTGATATTGAATCACCAGACGTGAAAGTGAAAGGTGGAAAGGGAAGTGGGAAGCCTAAAATGAAGTTTGGATCATGCTTTGGCAAACCCAAAGGACCTAAACTTGAAGCTGCTTACCAACCTGGAGAGATAAAGGTTGAGGGACCTGAAGTACCAAAAATACGAGTTGCAGTTCCTTCAGTAGAAGGCAAATTGGATGTAAGACCACCAAGTGCTGACATCAGTCCCTCACTTGAAGTAGACATTCCTGAAGTAAAAGGAGGGGTTGGATTTGATGTTGATGTACCCAAAATAGAGCCCAAATTGAAAATAGAAGGAGATATTCCAGATTTACCAAAAGTTGAAGCCAAGCTGGGAGGCAAAGCAAATGTTCCCGAAATAAAGGCAGATGTTGATATCAATGCCGCCATACCTGATCTTAAACCTGAGATAAAACTGGAAGGAAATATTCCAGACCTTCCAGAGGCAGATGCTAGCTGGGATATTGGTGTAAACATCCCTGGTATTTCAGGGGATGTAAAAGAACTGGATATATCATTGCCTGACATACCAAGTCCAAAGATTGATGTAGAAATGAAAGGTGATTTACCAACTGTTGATCTTCCTGAAGCTAAGATTTCACTTCCATCAGTCCCCGCTGTACCAGCGGCTGAGATTAAGGGAGAAGTAAAGACTCCAGAATTATCTGGGTCAGTGAAGATGCCACAACCTGAAGTGAAGGCCAAGAAAGCCAAACTAGGTCCATGTGCTTGTCTAGGTAAACCAGGAAAAGTGAAAAAGGAAGAACCATACATGTCTGCTAAACTTGAAGGAAAAGCTCCAGGAGAGATAAAAGGTGTAGATGTGGGACTGGAGGTAGAAGGACCAGAAGCACAAGCATCCATCGGTGTGGAAGCCCCCGAGATCAAGAGTAAGAAGGTAAAAGTATCAGGAAAGCCTAAATCATCTTTAGGTTCTTGTTTCGGTAAACCTAAGACTCCTTCAGTAAATGCAGAATACGAAGCAGATGCTGGTGTGGAAGCATCAGTGTCTGTAGATCCTCATATAAAGGTAGAGGGCGAAGGAGTTACTGGTCCCAGTGTTAGTGTTCCCGAGGGCAAGGCTAATATTGATATTGAATCTCCAAAAGTCAAAGTAAAAGGAGGTAAACCCAAAGCTAAATTGGGATCATGTTTCGGGAAACCGAAGGCTCCGGAAATTGAAGGGGAATATAAGCCAGGTAAAATTGAAGGCCCAGAGGCAAGTGTCGGAGCTAGTATTAAATCCCCAGAAGCCAAGGGTGACATTTCAGTTGAGTCTCCAGATGCTAAAATCAAGACAGGAAAGCCCAAAGCTAAATTGGGTTCATGTTTCGGCAAACCCAAGAGTCCTAAATTGGAAGGTGAATATAAACCAGCTAAAGTTGACATTGAAGGACCAAGCATTGAAGAGAGTGCCAGTGTTGAACCTCTTGAAGCCAGAGCGGATATTGACGTAGATGCACCTGATGTAAAGGTAAAGGGAAGTAGACCCGAGGCTGATATAGTCATAGATTCCCCAGAGGTGAAGGTGAAAGCCCAAAAGCCAAAATCTAAGTTGGGATCTTGTTTTGGTAAACCAAAGAGCCCCCAAATTGAAGGAGAATATAAGCCAGGCAAAGGAGACCTGGAAGGTCCAGAAGTCATTGTTGCTTCTCCTGAGGCTAAGGCAGATGTCGGCATTGAAGGTCCAGATGTGAAAGTGAAAGGAGGTAAACCAAAAGCTAAGTTTGGGTCTTGTTTCGGCAAGCCAAAAACTCCAAAGGTTGAAGGAGAATATAAAGGAGGTAAAGTTGAACTTGAGGGCCCCGAGGTCAGTGCCAGAGCAAGCTTGAAAACACCCGAAGCTAAAGCAGATATTGATATTGAATCACCAGACGTGAAAGTGAAAGGTGGAAAGGGAAGTGGGAAGCCTAAAATGAAGTTTGGATCATGCTTTGGCAAACCCAAAGGACCTAAACTTGAAGCTGCTTACCAACCTGGAGAGATAAATGTTGATGGACCTGAAGTTCCAAAAATACAAGCTGAAATTCCTTCAGTAGAAGGCAAAGTAGATGTAAAAACACCAAGTGCTGACATCAGTCCCTCACTTGAAGTAGACATTCCTGAAGTGAAAGGAGGAGTTGGAATTGATGTTGATGTACCCAAAATTGAACCAAGGTTGAAAATAGAAGGAGATATTCCTGATTTACCAAAAGTTGAAGCCGAATTGGGAGGCAAAGCAAATATTCCTGGTCTAGATTTTGAAGGTAACATACCCAAAGTTCCCGAAATGAAGGCAGATTTTGATATTGATGCTTCCATACCTGATCTTAAACCAGAGATAAAACTCGAAGGAAACATTCCAGACATTCCAAAGGCAGACGCAAACTTGGATATATCAGGGGATGTAAAAGAACTGGATATATCATTACCTGATATCCCAAGTCCAAAGATTGATGTGGAAATGAAAGGTGATTTACCAACTGTTGATCTTCCTGAAGCTAAGATTTCACTTCCATCAGTCCCCGCTGTCCCAGCGGCTGAGATTAAGGGAGAAGTAAAGACTCCAGAATTATCTGGGTCAGTGAAGATGCCACAACCTCAAATGAAGGCCAAGAAAGCCAAACTTGGTCCATGTGCTTGTCTAGGTAAACCAGGAAAAATGAAAAAGGAAGAGCCATACATGTCTGCTAAACTTGAAGGAAAAGCTCCAGGAGAGATAAAAGATGTAGATGTGGGACTGGAGGTAGAAGGACCAGAAGCACAAGCATCCATCGGTGTGGAAGCCCCCGAGATCAAGAGTAAGAAGGTAAAAGTATCAGGAAAGCCTAAATCATCTTTAGGTTCATGTTTCGGCAAACCTAAGACTCCTTCAGTAAGTGGAGAATATGCAGCTGATGCTGATGTTGGAGCATCAGTGTCTGTAGATCCTCATATTAAGGTAGAGAGCGAAGGTCTTGCTGGTCCCAGTGTTAGTGTTGATGTTCCCCAGGGCAAGGCTAATATTGATATTGAATCTTCTGATGTTAAGGTAAAAGGAAGAAAACCCAAGGCCAAACTGGGATCGTGTTTCGGTAAGCCTAAGAGTCCAGAAATTGAAGGTGAATATAAGCCAGGTCAAATTGAAGGCCCAGAGGCTAGTGTCGGAGCTAGTATTAAATCCCCAGAAGCCAAGGGTGACATTACTGTTGAGTCTCCAGACGCTAAAATCAAGACAGGAAAGCCCAAAGCTAAATTGGGTTCATGTTTCGGCAAACCTAAGAGTCCTAAAGTGGAAGGTGAATATAAACCAGCTAAAGTTGACATTGAAGGACCAAGCATTGAAGGGAGTGCCAGTGTTGAACCTCTTGAAGCCAGAGCTGATATTGACATTGATACACCTGATGTAAAGGTAAAGGGAATTAAACCAGGGGCTGACATAGACATAGATTCCCCAGAGGTTAACGTGAAAGCCCAAAAGCCAAAGTCTAAGTTAGGGTCTTGTTTCGGTAAACCAAAGAGCCCCAAGGTTGAAGGAGAATATAAACCAGGTAAAGCTGAAATTGAAGTCCCCGAGGTCAGTGCCGGAGCAAGTTTGAAAACACCTGAAGCTAAAGCAGACATTGATATTGAATCACCAGATGTGAAAGTGAAAGGTGGAAAGGGAAGTGGGAAGCCTAAAATGAAGTTTGGATCATGCTTTGGCAAACCCAAAGGACCTAAACTTGAAGCTGCTTACCAACCTGGAGAGTTAAAGGTTGAGGGACCTGAAGTACCAAAAATGCGAGCTGAAGTTCCTTCAATAGAAGGAAAAGTGGATGTAAAACCACCAAGTGCTGAAATCAGTCCCTCACTTGAAGTAGACATTCCTGAAATGAAAGGAGCAGTTGGAATTGATTTTGACATACCCAAAATAGAGCCTAAATTGAAAATGGAAGGAGATATTCCTGATTTACCAAAAGTTGAAGCCGAGCTGGGAGGCAAAGCAAACATTCCTGGTCTAGAAATTGAAGGTAACATACCCAAAGTTCCCGAATTGAAGGCAGATGTTGATATCGATGCTTCCATACCTGATCTTAAACCTCATGTTGAATTCGAAGGAAGCATTCCAGACCTTCCAAAGGCAGAAGCAAACTTGGATATAAGTGGAAACATCCCTCGTATATCAGGAGATTTAAAAGAACTGGATATATCAGTGCCAGATATCCCAAGTCCAAAGATTGAAGCAGAGATAAAAGGTGACTTACCATCTGTTGATCTTCCTCAAGCTAAGATTTCACTTCCATCAGTCCCCGCTGTCCCAGCGGCTGAGATTAAGGGAGAAGTAAAGACTCCAGAATTATCTGCGTCAGTGAAGATGCCACAACCTGAAGTAAAGGCCAAGAAAGCCAAACTAGGTCCATGTGCTTGTCTAGGTAAACCAGGAAAAATAAAAAAGGAAGAACCATACATGTCTGCTAAACTTGAAGGAAAAGCTCCAGGAGAGATAAAAGATGTAGATGTGGGACTGGAGGTAGAAGGACCAGAAGCACAAGCGTCCATCGGTGTGGAAGCCCCCGAGATCAAAAGTAAGAAGGTAAAAGTATCAGGAAAGCCTAAATCATCTTTAGGATCTTGTTTCGGTAAACCTAAGACTCCTTCTGTAAATGGAGAATATGCAGCTGATGCTGATGTGGGAGCATCAGTGTCTGTAGATCCTCATATAAAGGTAGAGGGCGAAGGTCTTGCTGGTCCCAATGTTAGTGTTGATGTTCCCGAGGGCAAGGCTAAGATGGATATTGAATCTCCAGAAGTGAAAGTAAAAGGTAGAAAACCCAGAGCTAAATTGGGATCATGTTTCGGTAAGCCTAAGAGTCCAGAAATTGAAGGTGAATATAAGCCAGGTCAAATTGAAGGCCCAGAGGCAAGTGTTGGGGCCAGTGTTAAATCCCCAGAAGCCAAGGGTGACATTTCAGTTGAGTCTCCAGATGCTAAAATCAAGACAGGAAAGCCCAAAGCTAAATTGGGTTCATGTTTCGGCAAACCTAAGAGTCCTAAAGTGGAAGGTGAATATAGACCAGCTAAAGTTGACTTTGAAGGACCAAACATTGAAGGGAGTGCCAGTGTTGAACCTCTTGAAGCCAGAGCTGATATTGACACTGATACACCTGATGTAATGGTAAAGGGAACTAAACCCGATGTTGATATTGACATTGATTCCCCAGAGCTTAAGGTGAAAACCCAAAAGCCAAAGTCTAAGTTGGGATCTTGTTTCGGTAAACCAAAGAGCCCCAAAATTGAAGGCGAATATAAACCAGGCAAAGTGGAATTAGAAGGTCCAGAAATCAGTGCTGCCTCTCCTGAAGCTACAGCTGATGTGAGTGTGGAAAGTCCAGATGTGAAAGTAAAAGGAAATAAACCAAAAGGTAAATTAGGGTCTTGTTTCGGTAAACCAAAGAGCCCCAAGGTTGAAGGAGAATATAAACCAGGTAAAGTTGAAATTGAAGGCCCCGAGGTCAGTGCCGGAGCAAGTTTGAAAACGCCTGAAGCTAAAGCAGACATTGATATTGAATCACCAGATGTAAAAGTGAAAGGTGGAAAGGGAAGTGGGAAGCCTAATATGAAGTTTGGATCATGCTTTGGCAAACCCAAAGGACCTAAACTTGAAGCTGCTTACCAACCTGGAGAGATAAAGGTTGAGGGACCTGAAGTACCAAAAATGCGAGCTGAAGTTCCTTCAATAGAAGGAAAAGTGGATGTAAATGCACCAAGTGCTAACATCAGTCCCTCACTTGAATTAGACATTCCTGAAGTGAAAGGAGGATTTGGAATTGATGTTGATGTACCCAAAATTGAACCAAAGTTGAAAATAGAAGGAGATATTCCTGATTTACCAAAAGTTGAAGCCGAATTGGGAGGCAAAGCAAACATTCCTGGTCTAGAAATTGAAGGTAACATACCCAAAGTTCCCGAATTGAAGGCAGATGTTGATATCGATGCTTCCATACCTGATCTTAAACCTCATGTTGAATTCGAAGGAAGCATTCCAGACCTTCCAAAGGCAGAAGCAAACTTGGATATATGTGGAAACATCCCTCGTATATCAGGAGATTTAAAAGAACTGGATATATCAGTGCCAGATATCCCAAGTCCAAAGATTGAAGCCGAAATAAAAGGTGACTTACCATCTGTTGATCTTCCTCAAGCTAAGATTTCATTACCATCAGTCCCCGCTGTCCCAGCGGCTGAGATTAAGGGAGAAGTAAAGACTCCAGAATTATCTGGGTCAGTGAAGATGCCACAACCTGAAATGAAGGCCAAGAAAGCCAAACTAGGTCCATGTGCTTGTCTAGGTAAACCAGGAAAAATGAAAAAGGAAGAGCCATACATGTCTGCTAAACTTGAAGGAAAAGCTCCAGGAGAGATAAAAGATGTAGATGTGGGACTGGAGGTAGAAGGACCAGAAGCACAAGCATCCATCGGTGTGGAAGCCCCCGAGATCAAGAGTAAGAAGGTAAAAGTATCAGGAAAGCCTAAATCATCTTTAGGTTCATGTTTCGGTAAACCTAAGACTCCTTCTGTAAGTGGAGAATATGCAGCTGATGCTGATGTGGGAGCATCAGTGTCTGTAGATCCTCATATTAAGGTAGAGGGCGAAGGTCTTGCTGGTCCCAGTGTTAGTGTTGATGTTCCCGAGGGCAAGGCTAAGATGGATATTGAATCTCCAGAAGTCAAAGTAAAAGGAGGAAAACCCAAAGCTAAATTGGGATCATGTTTCGGTAAGCCTAAGAGTCCAGAAATTGAAGGTGAATATAAGCCAGGTCAAATTGAAGGCCCAGAGGCAAGTGTTGGGGCCAGTGTTAAATCCCCAGAAGCCAAGGGTGACATTACTGTTGAGTCTCCAGACGCTAAAGTAAAGACAGGAAAGCCCAAGGCTAATTTAGGTTCATGTTTCGGCAAACCTAAGAGTCCTAAAGTGGAAGGTGAATATAAACCAGCTAAAGTTGACATTGAAGGACCAAACATTGAAGGGAGTGCCAGTGTTGAACCTCTTGATGCCAGAGCTGATATTGACATTGATACACCTGATGTAAAGGTAAAGGGAACTAAACCAGGGGCTGACATAGACATAGATTCCCCAGAGGTTAACGTGAAAGCCCAAAAGCCAAAGTCTAAGTTGGGATCTTGTTTCGGTAAACCAAAGAGCCCCAAAATTGAAGGTGAATATAAGCCAGGCAAAGTGGAATTAGAAGGTCCAGAAATCAGTGCTGCCTCTCCTGAAGCTACAGCTGATGTGAGCGTGGAAAGTCCAGATGTGAAAGTAAAAGGAAATAAACCAAAAGGTAAATTAGGGTCTTGTTTCGGTAAACCAAAGAGCCCCAAGGTTGAAGGAGAATATAAACCAGGTAAAGTTGAAATTGAAGGCCCCGAGGTCAGTGCCGGAGCAAGTTTGAAAACTCCTGAAGCTAAAGCAGACATTGATATTGAATCACCAGATGTGAAAGTGAAAGGTGGAAAGGGAAGTGGGAAACCTAATATGAAGTTTGGATCATGCTTTGGCAAACCCAAAGGACCCAAACTTGAAGGTGCTTACCAACCTGGAGAGATAAAGGTTGAGGGACCTGAAGTACCAAAAATGCGAGCTGAAGTTCCTTCAATAGAAGGAAAAGTGGATGTAAATGCACCGAGTGCTGACATCAGTCCCTCACTTGAAGTAGACATTCCTGAAGTGAAAGGAGGATTTGGAATTGATGTTGATGTACCCAAAATTGAACCAAAGTTGAAAATAGAAGGAGATATTCCTGATTTACCAAAAGTTGAAGCCGAATTGGGAGGCAAAGCAAACATTCCTGGTCTAGAAATTGAAGGTAACATACCCAAAGTTCCCGAATTGAAGGCAGATGTTGATATCGATGCTTCCATACCTGATCTTAAACCTCATGTTGAATTCGAAGGAAGCATTCCAGACCTTCCAAAGGCAGAAGCAAACTTGGATATAAGTGGAAACATCCCTCGCATATCAGGAGATTTAAAAGGACTGGATATATCAGTGCCAGATATCCCAAGTCCAAAGATTGAAGCAGAGATAAAAGGTGACTTACCATCTGTTGATCTTCCTCAAGCTAAGATTTCATTACCATCAGTCCCCGCTGTCCCAGCGGCTGAGATTAAGGGAGAAGTAAAGACTCCAGAATTATCTGGGTCAGTGAAGATGCCACAACCTGAAGTGAAGGCCAAGAAAGCCAAACTAGGTCCATGCGCTTGTCTAGGTAAACCAGGAAAAATAAAAAAGGAAGAACCATACATGTCTGCTAAACTTGAAGGACAAGCTCCAGGAGAGATAAAAGATGTAGATGTGGGACTGGAGGTAGAAGGACCAGAAGCACAAGCGTCCATCGGTGTGGAAGCCCCCGAGGTCAAGAGTAAGAAGGTAAATGTATCAGGAAAGCCTAAATCATCTTTAGGATCTTGTTTCGGTAAACCTAAGACTCCTTCTGTAAATGGAGAATATGCAGCTGATGCTGATGTGGGAGCATCAGTGTCTGTAGATCCTCATATTAAAGTAGAGGGCGAAGGTCTTGCTGGTGCCAGTGTTAGTGTTGATGTTCCCGAGGGCAAGGCTAAGATGGATATTGAATCTCCGGAAGCAAAAGTTAAAGGAAAGTCCAAAGCTAAATTGGGATCATGTTTCGGTAAGCCTAAGAGTCCGAAAGGCAAAGGGGAATATTCTCCAAGTAAGGCTCAACTTGAGGGAGCTTCAGCAGGTGGAATTGCAAGGATTAGACCTCTTGAAGTTAAAGCTGACATTGATATTGATGCCCCTGACTCGAATGTGAAGGCAGATAAACCAAAGGGTAAGTTGGGATCTTGTTTCGGAAAGCCAAAGGGTGCAGAAATCAGCGGAGAATATAAACCAGGAAAAGTTGAAATTGAAGGTCCTGCGATCAGCACTGAAGCTAGTCTGAAATCACCTGAAACAAAGGCTGATATTGGTATTGAATCACCAGAGGTAAAAGTAAAAGGAGGTAAAGCTACTGGAAAACCTACAACTAAGTTTGGGTCATGTTTTGGTAAACCAAAGGGACCTGAAATTGAAGCTGCTTATCAGCCTGGACAAGTAGAACTAGCAGGTCCAGAAATTCCAAAAGTACAAGTTGAAGTACCGGCCATAGAAGGAAAGGTTGAAGTAGAAACACCAAGACCCATTTCTGGTCCAGCAATAGAATTGGACATGCCTACCATTCCTGGAGTGTCTGGAGGAGTGGAAATCAGGGCAGATGTACCTAGAGTTGATCCAGCATTAAAAATTGAAGGAAGTATTCCAGATTTACCAAAGGTTGAAGCCAGACTTGGAGGAAAATCTGATATTCCAGATTTGGAAATTGGAGGCAAAATATCCACATCTCCTAAATTAGATGCTGATGTTGATCTTAAAGCTTCTGTACCGAAATTAGAACCAGAGGTTAAACTTCATGGTGATATCCCACGACTTCCAAAAGGTGATGCCAACTTGGAAGTAGAAGGCAGCGTCCCCACCTTCTCAGCAGACATTAAAGGATTAGACATAAAAACACCAGAAGTTGATGTCCCTTCCCTTCATGCAGAGGTGAAAGGTGACTTACCCCACGTCGAAGGTCCAAAAGCCGAGATCTCAATTCCATCTGATCTCAACATACCATCAGGTGAATTTAAGGGAGACATAAAGACTCCAGAATTATCTGCCTCAGTAGAAGTGCCAAAGACAGTAAAAGCATCTGGCAAACCCAAAATATCACTAGGATCCTGTTTCGGTAAACCAAAGGATCCTGTAAGTAAAGGATACTCAGCCGAGGCTGATATCGGAGGATCAGTGTCGCTAGATCCACATGCCAAGGTTGAGGGCGGTGTTACAGGTCCAAGTGTTACTGTGGCTGCACCTGAAGGTAAAGCTAAGGTGGATATTGACTCTCCTGAAGTGAACGTTAAAGGTGAAAAGCCTAAAGCTAAACTTGGCTCTTGTTTCGGTAAACCTAAAACCCCTAAAGTTGAAGGTGAATATAAACCTGGCAAAGCCTCAGTTGAAGGACCAGAGGTTAGTGGGAGTGCCAGAATTAGATCCCCTGATGGTAAGGCTGAGATCGACGTTGATTCTCCTGACCTGAAGTTGAAGACAGGGAAGCCAAAGGCTAAGTTGGGATCATGTTTCGGAAAGCCAAAGGGTGCTGAAATAAGCGGAGAATATAAACCAGGAAAAGTTGAAATTGAAGGTCCTGAGATCAGCACTGAAGCTAGTCTGAAATCACCTGAAACAAAGGCTGATATTGGTATTGAATCACCAGAGGTAAAAGTAAAAGGAGGTAAAGCTACTGGAAAACCTACAACTAAGTTTGGGTCATGTTTTGGTAAACCAAAGGGACCTGAAATTGAAGCTGCTTATCAGCCTGGACAAGTAGAACTAGCAGGTCCAGAAATTCCAAAAGTACAAGTTGAAGTACCGGCCATAGAAGGAAAGGTTGAAGTAGAAACACCAAGACCCATTTCTGGTCCAGCAATAGAATTGGACATGCCTACCATTCCTGGAGTGTCTGGAGGAGTGGAAATCAGGGCAGATGTACCTAGAGTTGATCCAGCATTAAAAATTGAAGGAAGTATTCCAGATTTACCAAAGGTTGAAGCCAGACTTGGAGGAAAATCTGATATTCCAGATTTGGAAATTGGAGGCAGAATATCCGCATCTCCTAAATTAGATGCTGATGTTGATCTTAAAGCTTCTGTACCGAAATTAGAACCAGAGGTTAAACTTCATGGTGATATCCCACGACTTCCAAAAGGTGATGCCAACTTGGAAGTAGAAGGCAGCGTCCCCACCTTCTCAGCAGACATTAAAGGATTAGACATAAAAACACCAGAAGTTGAGGTCCCTTCCCTTCATGCAGAGGTGAAAGGTGACTTACCCCACGTCGAAGGTCCAAAAGCCGAGATCTCAATTCCATCTGATCTCAACATACCATCAGGTGAATTTAAGGGAGACATAAAGACTCCAGAATTATCTGCCTCAGTAGAAGTGCCAAAGACAGTAAAAGCGTCTGGCAAACCCAAAATATCACTAGGATCCTGTTTCGGTAAACCAAAGGATCCCGTAAGTAATGGATACTCAGCCGAGGCTGATATCGGAGGATCAGTGTCGCTAGATCCACATGCCAAGGTTGAGGGCGGTGTTACAGGTCCAAGTGTTACTGTGGCTGCACCTGCAAGTAAAGCTAAGGTGGATATTGACTCTCCTGAAGTGAACGTTAAAGGTGAAAAGCCTAAAGCTAAACTTGGCTCTTGTTTCGGTAAACCTAAAACCCCTAAAGTTGAAGGTGAATATAAACCTGGCAAAGCCTCAGTTGAAGGACCAGAGGTTAGTGGGAGTGCCAGAATTAGATCCCCGGATGGTAAGGCTGAGATCGACGTTGATTCTCCTGACCTGAAGTTGAAGACAGGGAAGCCAAAGGCTAAGTTGGGATCATGTTTCGGAAAGCCAAAAGGTGCTGAAGTCGGCGGAGAATACAAACCAGGTAAAGTTGAAATTGAAGGTCCTGAGATCGGTGTTGAATATCCGGAAAGCAGCCTCTCAGATGTGCCAAAATTACCAGATATAGAAATTACAGCCAGAGCTCCTGTTCCTCCATCTCGCAAAGGGAAAGTCAGATTAAAAGTAAATACTCCTGAGGTACACATCGGAGGTTCTGCTCCAGAATATGATGGCAACATAGACCTTAAAACTAACGTTCCTGATGTCATAGCAGGAACTGGGGTCGATTATAAAATGGATGATCTCAACGCAAAACTTGCAGTTGATCCCGGATTTTCTGGCAAGTTTGGTCTGGATGCTGATGTACCCAAAGTGAGCGGAAGTGTAGGTGTTAATGGGTATGGGGGTGATGTTAATTTCAATACGAATATTCCAGAAACTAGGTTTGGTGCACATCTTCCTACCTATGAAGGAGATATGAATATTAAACCAGAAGTTCCAGATGTTAAGCTTGGGGCTAATTCTGGATATGGAGAAAACCTCAATTTAGACACAAACGCATCAGGATTTAACAGACGATTCAATGCCCCAGGATTTGATGGTGCAGTAGACTTGAAGACTAGTGTTCCAGCAGGTGATGTTGATATAAATATTCCTAATGTAGATAGAAAAATAAGAATCGGAGGAACAGCAGACATTCCTGGATCTGGAGGCAAAATTGGGTTGAAAACTGATGTCCCAAATGTCAAAGGCAGTGTTGATTATCCTGGATTTGGAGGCAAAATGGGATTGAAAACTGATATCCCAGATGTCAAGGGCAGTGCTGATATTCCTAGATTTGGAGGCAAAATTGGATTGAAAACTGACGTTCCAGAATTAGAGGCACGTGATGATATTCCTGGATTTGGAGGCAAAATTGGATTTAAAACTGATGTCCCAGATGTCAAAGGCAATGTTGATATTCCTGGATTTGAAGGCAAAATTGGATTGAAAGCTGATGTCCCAGATGTCAAGGGCAGTGTTGATTATCCTGGATTTGGAGGCAAAATGGGATTGAAAACTGATATCCCAGATGTCAAGGGCAGTGCTGATATTCCTAGATTTGGAGGCAAAATTGGATTGAAAACTGACGTTCCAGAATTAGAGGCACGTGCTGATATTCCTGGATTTGGAGGCAAAGTTGGATTTAAAACTGATGTCCCAGATGTCAAAGGCAATGTTGATATTCCTGGATTTGAAGGCAAAATTGGATTGAAAGCTGATGTCCCAGATGTCAAAGGCAGTGCTGATATTCCTGGATTTGGAGGCAAAATTGGATTGACATCCGATATCCCAGATATCAAGGGCAGTGTCGATTATCCTGGATTTGGAGGCAAAATGGGATTGAAAACTAATGTCCCAGATATCAAGGGCAGTGTTGATATTCCTGGATTTGGAGGCAAAATTGGATTGAAAACTGATGTCCCAGATGTCAAGGGCAGTGTTGATTATCCTGGATTTGGAGGCAAAATGGGATTGAAAACTGATGTCCCAGATATCAAGGGAAGTGCTGATATTCCTGGATTTGGAGGCAAAATGGGTTTTAAAACTGATGTCCCAGATGTCAAGGGCAATGCAGATATTCCTGGATTTGGAGGCAAAATTGGATTGAAAACTAATGTTCCAGAATTGGAGGGACGTGCTGATATTCCTGGATTTGGAGGCAAAATTGGATTTAAAACTGATGTCCCAGATGTCAAAGGCAATGTTGATATTCCTGGATTTGAAGGCAAAATTGGATTGAAAACTGATGTCCCAGATGTCAAAGGCAGTGCTGATATTCCTGGATTTGGGGGCAAAATTGGATTGACATCCGATATCCCAGATATCAAGGGCAGTGCTGATATTCCTGGATTTGGAGGCAAATTTGATTTGACAACTGATGTCCCAGATGTCAAGGGTAGTGTTGATATTCCTGGATTTGGAGGCAAAATGGGATTAAAAACTGATGTCCCAGATGTCAAGAGCAGTGTTGATATTCCAGGATTTGGAGGCAAAATTGGATTGAAAACTGATGTCCCAGATGTCAAAGGCAGTGCTGATATTCCTGGATTTGGAGGCAAAATTGGATTGAAAACAGATGTCACAGATGTCAAGGGCAGTGCTGATATTCCTGGATTTGGAGGCAAAATTGGATTGAAAACAGATGTCACAGATGTCAAGGGCAGTGCTGATATTCCTGGATTTGGAGGCAAATTTGATTTAAAAACTGATGTCCCAGATGTCAAGGGTAGTGTTGATATTCCTGGATTTGGAGGCAAAATTGGATTGAAAACTGATGTCCCAGATGTCAAGGGCAGTGCTGATATTCCTGGATTTGGAGGCAAAATTGGATTGAGAACAGATGTACCAGATGTCAGGGGCAGTGCTGATATTCCTGGATTTGGAGGCAAAATTGGAATGAAAACAGACATTCCAGAAATGGAGAGCAGTGCTGATATTCCTGGATTTGGAGGCAAAATTGGATTAAACACTGATGTCCCAAATGTCAAAGGCAGTGCTGATATTCCTGGATTTGGAGGCAAAATTGGATTGAAAGCTGACGTCCCAGATGTCAAGGGCAGTTTTGATATTCCTGGATTTGGAGGCAAAATTGGAATGAAAACTGACATTCCAGAAATGGAGAGCAGTGCTGATATTCCTGGATTTGGAGGCAAAATTGGACTGAGAACAGATGTCCCAGATGTCAAAGGCAGTGTTGATATACCTGGATTTGGAGGCAGAATTGGATTGAGAACAAATGTCCCAGATGTCAAGGGCAGTGCTGATATTCCTGGATTTGGGGGCAAAATTGGAATGAAAACTGACATTCCAGAATTGGAAGGAAGTGCTGAGAGTCCTGTATTTGGAGGCAAAATTGGATTGAGAACAGATGTCCCAGAAGTCAAGGGCATTGCTGATATTCCTGGATATGGAGGCAAAATTAGATTGAAAACTGACGTCCCAGATGTCAAGGGCAGTGCTGATATTCCTGGATTTGGAGGCAAAATTGGATTGAAAACTAATGTTCCAGAATTGGAGGGACGTGCTGATATTCCTGGATTTGGAGGCAAAATTGGATTGAAAACTGATGTCCCAGATGTCAAAGGCAGTGTTGATATTCCTGGATTTGGAGGCAAAATTGGATTGAAAACTGATGTCCCAGATGTCAAAGGCAGTGTTGATATTCCTGGATTTGGAGGCAAAATTGGATTGACATCCGATATCCCAGATATCAAGGGCAGTGTCGATTATCCTGGATTTGGAGGCCAAAATGGGATTGAAAACTGATGTCCCAGATATCAAGGGCAGTGCTGATATTCCTGGATTTGGAGGCAAAATTGGATTGAAAACTGATGTCCCAGATATCAAGGGCAGTGCTGATATTCCTGGATTTGGAGGCAAATTTGATTTGAAAACTGATGTCCCAGATGTCAAGGGTAGTGTTGATATTCCTGGATTTGGAGGCAAAATGGGATTAAAAACTGATGTCCCAGATGTCAAGAGCAGTGTTGATATTCCAGGATTTGGAGGCAAAATTGGATTGAAAACTGATGTCCCAGATGTCAAAGGCAGTGCTGATATTCCTGGATTTGGAGGCAAAATTGGATTGAAAACAGATGTCACAGATGTCAAGGGCAGTGCTGATATTCCTGGATTTGGAGGCAAAATTGGATTGAAAACAGATGTCACAGATGTCAAGGGCAGTGCTGATATTCCTGGATTTGGAGGCAAAATTGGATTGAAAACAGATGTCTCAGATGTCAAGGGCAGTGCTGATATTCCTGGATTTGGAGGCAAATTTGATTTAAAAACTGATGTCCCAGATGTCAAGGGTAGTGTTGATATTCCTGGATTTGGAGGCAAAATTGGATTGAAAACTGATGTCCCAGATGTCAAGGGCAGTGCTGATATTCCTGGATTTGGAGGCAAAATTGGATTGAGAACAGATGTACCAGATGTCAGGGGCAGTGCTGATATTCCTGGATTTGGAGGCAAAATTGGAATGAAAACAGACATTCCAGAAATGGAGAGCAGTGCTGATATTCCTGGATTTGGAGGCAAAATTGGACTGAGAACAGATGTCCCAAATGTCAAAGGCAGTGCTGATATTCCTGGATTTGGAGGCAAAATTGGATTGAAAACTGACGTCCCAGATGTCAAAGGCAGTGTTAATATTCCTGGATTTGGAGGCAAAATTGGAATGAAAACTGATGTCCCAGATGTCAAAGGCAGTGCTGATATTCCTGGATTTGGAGGCAAAATGGGATTGAAAACTGACTTCCCAGATGTCAAGGGCAATGCTGATATTCCTGGATTTGGAGGCAAAATTGGATTGAGAACAGATGTCACAGATGTCAAGGGCAGTGCTGATATTCCTGGATTTGGAGGCAAAATGGGATTGAAAACAGATGTCACAGATGTCAAGGGCAGTGCTGATATTCCTGGATTTGGAGGCAAAATTGGAATGAAAACTGACATTCCGGAATTGGAAGGAAGTGCTGAGAGTCCTGTATTTGGAGGCAAAATTGGACTGAGAACAGATGTCCCAGAAGTCAAGGGCATTGCTGATATTCCTGGATTTGGAGGCAAAATTAGATTGAAAACTGACGTCCCAGATGTCAAGGGCAGTTCTGATATTCCTGGATTTGGAGGCAAAATTGGATTGAAAACTGACGTCCCAGATGTTAAAGGCAGTGTTGATATTCCTGGATTTGGAGGCAAAATTGGAATGAAAACTGACATTCCAGAATTGGAAGGAAGTGCTGAGAGTCCTGTATTTGGAGGCAAAATTGGATTGAGAACAGATGTCCCAGAAGTCAAGGGCAGGGTTGATATTCCTGGATTTGGAGGCAAAATTGGATTGGAAACTGATGTCCCAGATGTCAAGGGCAGTACTGATATTCCTGGATTTGGAGGCAGAATTGGGTTGACAACTGACGTCCCAGATGTCAAGGGCAGTGCTGATATTCCTGGATTTGGAGGCAAAATTGGATTGAGAACAAATATTCCAGATGTCAAGGGCAGTGCTGATATTCCTGGATTTGGAGGCAAAATTGGGTTGAAAACTGACGTCCCAGATGTCAAGGGCAGTGCTGATATTCCTGGATTTGGAGGTAAAATTGGATTGAGATCAGATGTCCCAGATGTCATGGGCAGGGTTGATATTCCTGGATTTGGAGGTAAAATTGGATTGGAAACTGATGTCCCAGATGTCAAGGGCAGTGCTGATATTCCTGGATTTGGAGGCAGAATTGGGTTGAAAACTGACGTCCCAGATGTCAAGGGCAGTGCTGATATTCCTGGATTTGGAGGCAAAATTGGATTGAGAACAAATATCCCAGATGTCAAGGGCAGTGCTGATATTCCTGGATTTGGAGGCAAAATTGGATTGAGAACTGACGTCCCAGATGTCAAGGGCAGTGCTGATATTCCTGGATTTGGAGGCAAAATTGGATTGAGAACTGACGTCCCAGATGTCAAAGGCAATGCTGATATTCCTGGATTTGGAGGCAAAATTGGATTGAGAACTGACGTCCCAGATGTCAAGGGCAGTGCTGATATTCCTGGATTTGGAGGCAAAATTGGATTAAAACTGACGTCCCAGAAAATTCGATTCAAACTGACGTCCCAGATGCCAAGGGCAGTGCTGATATTCCTGGATTTGGAGGCAAAATTGGATTGAAAACTGATGTCCCAGATGTCAAGGGCAGTGCTGATATTCCTGGATTTGGAGGCAAAATTGGATTGAGAACAAATATCCCAGATGTCAAGGGCAGTGCTGATATTCCTGGATTTGGAGGCAAAATTGGATTGAGAACTGACGTCCCAGATGTCAAGGGCAGTGCTGATATTCCTGGATTTGGAGGCAAAATTGGATTGAAAACTGATGTCCCAGATGTCAAGGGCAGTGCTGATATTCCTGGATTTGGAGGCAAAATTGGATTGAGAACTGACGTCCCAGATGTCAAGGGCAGTGTTGATATTCCTGCATTTGGAGGCAAAATTGGAATGAAAACTGACATTCCAGATGTCAAAGGCAGTGCTGATGTTCCTGGATTTGGAGGCAAAATTGGATTGAGAACAGATGTCCCAGATGTCAAGGGCAGGGTTGATATTCCTGGATTTGGTGGCAAAATTGGATTGGAAACTGACCTCCCAGATGTCAAAGGCAGTGCTGATGTTCCTGGATTGGGAGGCAAAATTGGATTGAGAACAGATGTCCCAGATGTCAAGGGCAGGGTTGATATTCCTGGATTTGGAGGCAAAATTGGATTGGAAACTGACATCCCAGATGTCAAGGGCAGTGCTGATATTCCTAGATTTGGAGGCAAAATTGGATTGAAAACTGATGTCCCAGATGTCAAGGGCAGTGCTAATATTCCTGGATTTGGAGGCAAAATTGGATTGGAAACTGACGTCCGAGATGTCAAGGGCAGTGCTGATATTCCTGGATTTGGAGGCAAAATTGGATTGGAAACTGACGTCCCAGATGTCAAGGGCAGTGCTGATATTCCTGGATTTGGAGGCAAAATTGGATTGAAAACTGATGTCCCAGATGTCAAGGGCAGTGCTAATATTCCTGGATTTGGAGGTAAAATTGGATTGAAAACTGACTTCCCAAATGTCAGGGGCATTGCTGATATTCCTGGATTTGGAGGCAAAATTGGATTGGAAACTGACGTCCCAGATGTCAAGGGCAGTGCTGATATTCCTGGATTTGGAGGCAGAATTGGATTGAAAACAGATGTCCCAGATATCAAGGGCAGTGCTGATATTCCTGGATTTGGAGGCAGAATTGGATTGAAAACTCAAGTTCCAGAATCGGAAGGAAGTGCTGATATTCCTGGATTTGGAGGCAAAATTGGATTGAGAACAGATGTCCCAGATATCAAGGGCAGTGCTGATATTCCTGGATTTGGAGGCAGAATTGGATTGAAAACTCAAGTTCCAGAATCGGAAGGAAGTGCTGATATTCCTGGATTTGGAGGCAAAATTGGAATGAAAACTGACATTCCAGAATTGGAAGGAAGTGCTGATATTCCTGGATTTGGGGGCAAAATTGGATTGAAAACTGACGTCCCAGATGTCAAGGGCAGTGCTGATATTCCTGGATTTGGAGGCAAAATTGGATTAACATCTGATATTCCAGATGTCAAGGGCATTGCTGATATTCCTGGATTTGGAGGCAAAATTGGATTGAAAACTGACGTCCCAGATGTCAAGGGCAGTGCTGATATTCCTGGATTTGGAGGCAAAATTGGATTAACATCTGATATTCCAGATGTCAAAGGCAGTGCTGATATTCCTGGATTTGGAGGCAAAATTGGATTAACATCTGATATTCCAGATGTCAAGGGCAATGCTGATATTCCTGGATTTGGAGGCAAAATTGGATTGAAAACTGACGTCCCAGATGTCAAGGGCAGTGCTGATATTCCTGGATTTGGTGGCAAAATTGGATTGAAAACTGATGTCCCAGATTTCAAGGGCAGTGCAGATATTCCTGGATTTGGAGGTAAAATTGGATTGAAAACTGATGTCCCAGATGTCAAGGGCAGTGCTGATATTCCTGGATTTGGAGGCAAAATTGGATTAACATCTGATATTCCAGATGTCAAGGGCAATGCTGATATTCCTGGATTTGGAGGCAAAATTGGATTGAAAACTGACGTCCCAGATTTCAAGGGCAGTGCTGATATTCCTGGATTTGGAGGCAAAATTGGATTGAAAACTGATGTCTCAGATGTCAAGGGCAGTGCTGATATTCCTGGATTTGGGGTGAAAAGTGATATTAAATCTGGCATTCCAATCCTGAAGGGCAGAGCAGGTTTTCCTGTGTCTCTCAGTAAAACTGATGCACCTTGTGTTACAGGGGTGCTGTCTGTGGACACTAATGTACCTGATGTTGATGTAGTGTCGCAGGGTAAAGAAGAACTGGGCACTGAGTATAAAACAAAAATTCCATCTTTAAGTGGCACAACCCGAGTACCTGAGCCCTCTGCTTCCACGTCATTAGAGGCAAATATTCCTGAAATGAAGCTTGGGACAGTGACAGACTTCAAGCAAGATCAAAGCTTCGGCTTGCCCGAGGTAAGCACGAATGCTGGTGGTCGTGGGTCCAGAAAGAAGAGAAGAAATGGTAAGAAGAAAGGTGCACCAGAAAGGAAGTCTGGCGACTTCGAAGAGGTACCATCTGATTCTCAAGGAATTCTTAGTACTGAAGTACCAGAACTCTCTGCTCATATGAAGTTGGACTCCTTTATACCTGGTGTGCCAGCACATACACACGAAGGAAACGTAATCATTGCAGCTGATCTACCAGAAGTCACAGTGAAAAGTAAAATACCGAGATTCACAAAAGTTTCAAAGGGAGAAGATGTGCCGGGCGAGGATTCCACCCGTCCAGGTGACCCGGTAGGTAGCTGGTCGGCCAGTCAGGTTATTGGAACCGAGATTAGTGGAATTCCTGTATTGAGTGGACGTGTTCCTGAAGCTCGTACAGACGTCACTTGTGTTCCAGAGAGACCACAGGTAGAAGGGGTATTACAGGGAAACATTCCAAACATGACAATCCAGTCAGGTACACCTCCCATTGGGTGGGTTCTACCACAACCAACCACGCAAACAACCATTAACCAGAAGGTTGTAGTTAGAGAAGGACAACCTTACACACAAGAAATCTTAATGCCACATACGCAAGTTGTTAGCGAATTGTCGCCAGGTCAAGTAGAATTTTCACAAAGTGTTATATCTGATGGGTCAAGTCCTCTTAAAGTTAGTAGAGAATACACAATATCCACGGAGGGTGAGAGAGCCCAAGATGTCGAGGCTTACATTAAGGGTAAATTAGGACCATTCAAACTTACACCTGAGAGAACATTGAGTGTTTGTAGGACAGAAACGAAGATGGAAGATCCTGGCCACGCATTACCTAGCAGGTCTGGGGAGCAGCAGGGCCAGTTGGTGGGGCCAGATGGCTCAGGCGAGTGGATCATGAGTCCGTATTCTTATCAAGTCAAAATGGAAACAGACTCAGAGGGTAGAATGTTATCAGCTCCTGAGGTTACCGACATACAGAGTAGAATAACCGCCGGAGGAGACTCAGATTCAAGAGGGAATAAACAGTCACGAACGGTATTCGTGACAGAAGATGCTGGCGGGCGAGTGGTGGTACACAGAAGAATGGAGTCTTCACAAACACACTCACCAGGGACAGAGGACCACACAGTATTGACTCATGAATTTCCTCCATCCATAACATCAACCATGACAACAAGTGAATGGCCGCTTGAGGGCGTTACTACACACAAAACCGTTCGGGTTAGAAAGGTTCGGAAAGTTAAAGTTGGAGATGGACCAGAGGAAACAATTGTTGAAACTGAGTACGAGACCATCCCTGGCCAGGAGTCTGATGCTCTTAGAATAGAAGGTTTTGACAGTAGTGGGGAAATGCGTGTCACACCGGGGACGGGGCATGATTTATCACACCTGCCACCTGAACTTAGAGAAAGTTCTCTACTCCGCTTTGGCCTCGACCAAAGGGAGACACCTGGGGAAACACAACAGGCTGTTCATACAACTGTAAGAAGACTACCAGTCGAAGAGCTTGGTACACATTTACCTGAAGGATTCGATGAAAATATCCATCAAATTTTAGGGGCGACGGCGACAACGACAACAGTGCGGAAAGTGAAGGTAGTAAGAAGAGACGCTAGCGGTAATGTCGTCGAATACGAAGACGAGAGCGGGGATCTAAGTTCATTACTCCCTGAGATGACCTCCGACGGTGTCACCACGACGACGACGACAACTGGTGACGGAGGAACGACCACAACCACACGAGTCATAAGACGAGTGATTACAGGCGACCTGACGGAAAGCGAGCTCAGAGAGGCTCTTGCCGTTAGGGAGTGTGAGGGCGGAGTAGTGGAGGAAGGAGACGAAGCTTCTGCCTCTCACAGAACACAGTGAGTCACTCCGAATGAAACGAATTAAAATGTGTATATTTATGCTGTGTATGTGCTTGGAAAATGTGCTATTTGTGTATATATATAAATATATATGTATCGTCATGTAAGCTACAACAGCGTATGTCCTTGTGTCAACACCTTCAAATGACTGTCGTTTGTGTTATACCTCGCTTCAATATATGACTCCTGTACATTGGACGTGCAGAATCATTGTGCCTTGAAATGTATGCTCAAACAAGTTCAAAAACCTTCATACACAACGACAGAATGGTGCCTTATCTCCCCCATGCATGAGAACACAGCGTGCTGTGACTCCCGTATATCTACCCAACAAGAGCCAAGATTCCTCCGCACAAATCCCGTCCACTCTGCGCCACCAGTGAGGGTAAGTCCCATCTCCCGCTTTACTCTCCCCTGCTTAACTAACCTTCAATAACGCTACGACCCTCATTGTTTAAATACACTAGTACTGTTGTAGCATGGTGTTGAGTGACCCTACAGTGGGGTGGTACAGGTGTTATAACTTGCTTGCTTGCTCTTTGCTGTGATTTTATAGTCCAACTTCAAGACTTTTCTTTGTTGTTTAGGTGTTTTACAAATCTGTTGTGTTGCCATACCTTTCCAGGCATTGGAAACACATAAATGAAAATTCAATACATAAGGAAAAGGTGTATATATATATATATATATATATATATATATATATATATATATATATATATATATATATATATATATATATATATATATATATATATATGTAGTGTATGTGTGTGTAACAGAAAGCCATATGGGATGTATTCATAGTTACTAAGTAAGTGGTGGTGGGTGCAGGATATACCAGGTGAGAGATCCAGAGCTTGTAATAGATGACCGCCACCTGGCATTACTTGAGGAGCTCATTATACCCCAACATCAAGGTGTGCTTCCTAAATTCTCTGACGACTTCTTAATGAAACACGCTGTTGTGGAGTTCCCTGTACACTATAACAGTGTCCACACGCTGTTGTGGAGTTCCCTGTACACTATAAGTGCCCACACACTGACTCTTAAACAAACTTGAATACATTAATGGCTTGGCTACACAGTTTTTAACTATGATATCAGTCACTTTTTCCTTTTACTTAGTTTACACCACTTCCTGCCACTCTCACTCGCCTTGTTAACCTACATCGGTAAGACAACACCTTTGATGCTTCCTCCTCGATACTTTTTATAATTGTTCTTAATCTCTGATATATTACAAGCATTCTATTACATCAGGCACTATGTAAAGTACCAGTGAAAATGTTGTGTGTAGGTTAGGTTCGGTCATTAAACTTCACACTGAATAACCTAACATAAACACAACAGAACGGAACACTTTCGCTGGTATTTTACACACACACACACACACACACACACACACACACACATATGTAGCTCCTCCTCCGCCAGTACATGATGCTCACATAACTGGATCATGTTGAGGTAATGAAATGATTATGACACTGGTAGACACACTTCAACCAACACAGTACTGGGTGGTGACAGTGCTCCAGTACCCTACTAACTGGATACCTCAACAATTAGGGTAACAGGAGTATTATACCAAGTTCCCAACCATACAAATGTGAAATAAGAGATACGGTTTATAAGCGTTGGTTAGATTAGGTGTTCTGATTCACGAAACAGCAGATTGACATATATTAATAAGTTGACGTGGACACAAAACGAGAATATTGAAGTAAGGTTTCCTAGTCTCTCTCTCTCTCACAACTCATTCTTCCATCAGTTAATACTCTATGTCCACTCCCAGGTGCCTGAATCACTCCACCTCCTCGACTCATTTAATTACTGAATATTTTTGACCTCGTGTGTTGACAGCGATCACCGACACTCTTTCCCATCCCTAATTTTGTCTCGCTCATAAAGTTTCGTGTCAGAGAAAAATACATTTTATTTTTGAAACATTAGATCTCTGATATATTCTTAATACAAATTGATATTAAGTATAAAAATCTGTTCCTATGATGTAGTGTTTCCAATAAACATTCCTACATTCATCACTTTGTATAACCTTGAGAATTACGTTAACAGTAGGTGGAGGTTGTCTTTAGTAGGTCACATCACCCGCTTCACTCTCTCCCATCTCAAGTGCTTACCTCTGCCATAAACCAAGCACTTGTGGGTATCAAAACATCCCTTGTGGTGTGACCCTAATATGTGCCGGGTCCTGGAGTACATCAAACACTCTCCCGCCATGCCACAGTGAATGAATCTCTCTTCACCAGTCTCATTTGCATAGCATTTTTGAAAGGTGTTCTGTCCCAGTCGGCATCTTGTGAATGTTTGGCTCTTGGGAAGGTTGTTATTACTCGCAGTTACCGGAGCCACGTCATAGCGCTCCTCACCTACAGAAAATGGGCGGATGATGATAGAAAATGCAAGGTAGTGGGATGTCAATTCCTGGAGGTACGTTAGTATTTTATTTATTTTAACTCTCACTATTTGTCTAAAAACCTGACACATTATTGGGGTTTCCGAGAGCGAGACAGATTTTAATAGAGAAATTTGAAACGAAAATTGGTGAATTAAAAAATACGCATTATATATTAAAAAAAAATCATACATGGATGTTATACTCCCCACACACTGCACCGTGGCCTACACACACACACACACACACACACACACACACACACACACACACACACTTGATCGTTACCAACAAAAACGTCTCCAACTCAGTAAGAGGTGAGTGGAGGTATTCATGACACTGTTTGTGGTGATTATCTTCCCAGTAGAATGTGCGTGTGTCACCCTCACGACGTAGCCACGTTTACCTCCCGCTGGGGTGCTGGTGTCTCCCTCGCTGTCTTCTGCCGCCTGTAAACTCGGACGCCTCAAAGCTGTATTGGTCAGATCACGGTCAATATTAATACTAGATTGACATAACTCTGCATTAATTACACCTTTCTCACTTATAATATCCTCTGACACGCCGAGACGTACGAGTGACATGTGTAATCATATCGACACGAAATGAAGTGATGAGGGAGGCAGGAGTACTATTGGGGAGTCTTATGTGGTGGAGCGTGTGTTTGGTGAGGCGGCAGGTGGCCCTCTGCGGTTCTGGGGTACATGCTCGCGAACCTATTAATACTGGCACACATAAACAAAGACTTGGCATCCTGTCAACCCGATGATCCAGCATAAGAAATATCCTAGTCTTGGGGCGAGATAGTCCCTGGGCGTAACACTATCCCGTACTCCCACGCCGCCTCGGGGACACAATGATATGCACACCAGCTTATACACGGGGGAACTACGTCACTACTCTGGGTGTCTCAGTCTCAATTCATTACAGGGGAAGTCTGAGGCCTATTGGGGTAGTAAGCACCACAACACCACACAATGGCCCATTGCCTTTCGTGCGAAAACGGAAATATATTTTGTTTTAAAATAATAAGATTTCAAAAGTTTTACTCCTACTGTATCTCTCCCTGGTAACGTTTTCATTCACCAAACTTGTTATACCAGGTAACATGAACAGTAAACACTGACGATTCAAGCAGTAAATCAGATTTACACCTACAGTCCTACACACTTAACAACACCTACACACTGGCTTGCCAGAGGTACCAAAGTGTGACCTCGTCTTACATTCGCTATGCCCACCTATGATCCTCACCGTAGTACACTGACGCCCTTCACTCACAACACTTTACCCGAAGGCGAGCATAAATTCCGCGTATTTCCATGTTTGTCGCCTGTAATAGCGTGTTTGTTCTTGCACACGATGCAAGGGGGTGTTTTATAAAGTAGACCTCGTGTCCGCTTCGGGTGAATCAGAATAAAAAACTGAATACATTATCATAGTCCACCTGGACACCTCTTAATGGGATATTCATCGTCTTGTGATCGTCATTTATAACATATGTTATTGTCAATTTATCCTAAACTGTACATACTGCAGCAGTATGTACAGTATTACTGCTAGATTAAAGGAGACACCTCTGCTGATAATTCTGATAAGCCATATATATAAAGTCTAGGATCTCGGCCATTAAAAGTCTGTTTTCTTTGCTGTACAAAGATAGGAGGTAACTAATGTGCTTATATGTAGCAATAGACGGCTAACAGGTGGCCGGGGAGTCATCAGGGTGTGTTGACACTTATAACTAATCTCCAGGATCCTGCCACTTGATTTCTCCTCAGGGTGTGAGAACAACACTTACCACGCCTCCTTACACACACCAGCCTGGGCACTGTAAACAAAAATTTATGCTACAGGGGGAGGCTTTGTTGATATCACGGGGCAGAACAGTGGATGGTGGCTGTCACGGGGTAAGAGAGTGGGTGCTGCCTGTTATGGGGCAGGGCAGTGGGTGCTGGGTGGTGGTGTCACGGGGCAGAACAGTGGGTGCTGGGTGTCACGGGGGAGGACAGTAGGTGGCGGCAGTTATGGGGCAAGAACGGGTTAGATGTCACGGGGCAGAAGTTGGGTGACTGTCACGTGGAAGGAAGTGGGTGGGTGTCACGGGTCGGGATCGGAGTGGCTCACAGCGGGGATTGGGACATTATCACTAATTGGGTGGCAGGACAGTGAGAAAGTCCACGGAGGTGACCCACTAATCTTCAGCTTCGGGAGTTGACGTTGCTACCTGTGGCAGGGGTAGGTGCGACAGGTGCGTGGTTGTGACAGGTGCTAAGAAATGACACTTGTGGTATTGGTAAGTATGTGGTGGTACTAGGTGCTGAAATGACAGGAGTTTAGGCTGACAGGTGTAGTAAACATGTTGGATGCAGTGAAAGTGTGGAGATTAACTGGTGTTGACGTGTTAATCGTTGATAGTGACAGGTGTGAAGGGCGACAAGTGTAGAAGAGATAGGTGTAGGATGTGGAGAATAACAGGTATGGAACGTGGCGAGCGTGGAGTAACAGGTGTGGGGCGTGGCGGATGTGGAGAATAACAGGTGTGGGGCTTGGAGAGTGACAGGTGTGTGGCAAGCAT